CTCTCTCTCTCTCTCTCTCTCTCTCTCTCTCTCTCTCTCTCTCTCTCTCTCTCTCTCTCTCTCTCTCTCTCTCTCTCTCACGGACGCGCGCATGCACTCACCCCCGCACGCAGCTCCCGCCCGCGCGCAGGTCCTGTGCACACACACACACACACACACGCACGCACACACACACACACACCCGCGCACGCACACACACACACACACACCCGCACATGCACTCTCTCTCTCTCTCTCTCTCACATTCTCTCTCTCTCTCTCACACACGCACACATACAGACACACACACACACACACACACACAATCAATCAATCAATCAATCAATCAATCAATCAATCAATCAAATCCTTTTTTTGTTTATTTGTTTTCAAATTTTGCATCTGCTTTTTTTTTCTAAACACCTCATTTCCCTGCAAAAAAACAGATTCATTTTTAAAAAAAAACACAAGTCGACTCGGGGACCATATATCTCATGATAAAAAATAAAAATAAAAAATTCCTGCTTTTCTTTATATATATATTTTTCATTTTGTTTAAATTGATTTTAGTTTTTGATTTTTTTAAAATCTTAAACAAAAACCAGGCCGCGGACTGGGCCCCATCGGCCGCGGCCGCGGCCGAGAATCTCGGCCGCAACGGCCGAAATGCCAGCGGCCTAGGCCGCGGGTGTCACATAGCCATCGAGTAAAGTTGAGTGGAATAGAGTTGAGTATAGTCGAGTAGAGTAGAGTAGAGTAGAGAAAAGTAGAGTGACGGGGACTCAAGTAGAGTAGAGAAGAGTGAAATGGAGTGGTCTGGAGTGAAGCAGACCCAGCGGAGTACAATAGAGTAGAGTGAGTATATAAGAGTATCACAACATATAGTACAGTACAGTACAAAAGAGTAGAGTAGAATAAAGTAGAGTAGAGTAGCGTAGCTTAGAGTAGTGTAGCATAGAGTACAATAGAGTTGAGTCGCGTCAAGTCGAGTAGAGTAGAGTTGGGTGGAGAAGAATAGAGAAGAGTGGTATACCTCGAATGAACCTTTAAACTGACACTAACAGAGCAGAGTACTTTAAAGTAGAATGAAGTAGAGTAAAGCAGAGTAGAGTAGAGTTGAGTAAAGTACTGTAGATTAGAGCAGAGTCGAGTCAAGAAGAGTCGAGTAGAGTAGAGTCGAGCGGAGTAGAGTTACTGTAGTGGAGTGGTTTGGAGTGGAGTCTAGTGGAATGTAGTTCAACCGAATTGATGGAGGAGTGGAGTGGAGGAGTGGAGTAGAATGGTCGAGTGGAGTAACATGGAGTGGAGGAGAGTGGAGTGGAGTGGAGTGGAGTAGAGTGGAATGGAGTAGACTGGAGTGGAGTGGAATGGACTCAATGGAGTAGAGGAGAGTAGAGTGGAGCTGGCCCCTACCTTACCAAAAAAAACTGGCAGTCTGAAAGGTGTTCTTTTTTTTGCTTTTCTTTTCGGATCGAACCAATAGAAACCCGCATGTCCCTGGCACGAAACTCGCTTTTAGCCAGACTTCTTGTTATAGCCCTCGAAGAACCGGTCTTGTGAGATTCGAAAAAATATTTCGGACAGAAAGGCAATGACCCGGCTTTTGAGGGCTTTTTTCGATTTTTTGTCATGTGTGCCTTGTGGGATCCAAACCATACTCTTCTCTATTTTACGGGATTCCCCTTTTCGAAAAACGGAGCACTTCAACCCAAGTCAAAACACTTTCATGTATGTAAGGAAACGGGGG